TCCACATCACTACAAGCATCCCAGCTTTTCAGCTGATGTTGCAGCTGGTCAATTTTTTTTTTTTGCACTGATACCTCTGCAAGCTTTTCCATTGGAGAATTAAAAACCTGAACGGAAGAATAGCAATTGTTCTTTACCGTCAGGTGTGATTCTTCTTCTTCTTTACTACTTTCTAATTCACCAGTGGACTTAACCGAGGACTGTGTCTGCCTGAGCATGGATAACGTCGATTCCTGGTGTTGACGGCACTTCCTCATGGACGTAAAGAGCTGCCACGGCAAATTCTTTAGGAGCCCCGTAAAAAGAACGGGATAGAAGAGGTTAATCACGAGAAGTCACCGCCATTACTTTCCCTCCTCCTGCAATTTATCTCCAAACAGTCTCGTCCACCCATATATGTTCCCCTCTTTTTGTCTTTACTTGTCAGTTTATTCTTATTTTTCACGGTCATTCCTCCCTCCGGCTTCATCTGTCTATGTCTGACTACAATCCGTCTATAAGTTTCAATTTAATTCTCTCCGAGCTCAATCTCGTACCATTCGATATCTCAAGTTTACATATGAGGATTTATCTCTGTGCAGGTGTAGTGAGCTGCTTGTGTTGCTACCGGCCTCATTCTCTACATCCGAAGCCCAGGCCGACTCCTTAAAGGTAGCTTTAAATCTCTTCCTACAATTACTGCAAATCATATCATTGGAAGAAGAAATATACTATTTAAAGCTTTCTTCGTACACAGTATTTGGCCACACTATCAAAACTTCCTCAAGACACCCCGGGGCAAGCTCATTCCTAACATTTATCATAGTCTTCTCCCTTTTCTCGCCCCAGGGGCATGACTGACGAAACACGGAGTACGAGGCTGCCCTAGGCAAATGTCGTCACTTAGTCCTGTAGTAAAACTGAGTACTTTTTCGTTCTTTCTTCTGCTGCGATCATTCTACAAACGGATTTGTTTACAACACAATCGCATTTCGTACGTCTTAATAAGGTCTGAGATATCATACTATGGCACGAGCCCATGACTGGGTTAATAGATATTATCTAACATTATTTTCAAAGGGAAAACATCGAAAATGCGGGAGATGTGAATTTGGTTCTCCAAAAAGTACAACAAGGATAACTTCGTAACTGACCCACCTGATCAAATCGGGACAACCATTCCATGAAATTTCAGGATTTCTCTCGCCATTTTGAGATTAACTGCATCCCAATTTTTTATCGCCTTACTACCGCCTTGGTGGGTGGAGTATTGACAGGGCCTTCCCTGAATCCAGTACCTCCACGACATGTCTTGGGCATATCATCATTTCGTTAAGTTTTGAAACTGGTAATTCAAAAAGCCCACTCTTGCTAAAATTAGTTCATGTTCAGTTAGCATTTCGCGAAATAAATGACAAGAGCTCAGATGGCTTCCAATTGACTTATTGCAATCTCCAAGGCTCACGGACTGTGTAATACCTCTTGAGCTACCACATGTTCCTCTATAATTCGAAAAGCACCACAAATAATATGGAGTCCCCATCTTGTTGTTCGTAACTCGTAAACCAAATTATTACTAAGATTTCGTGTAAATTAAATTGCTTTTCTCAGATTAAGGCGGCTTCTTAGAACAATTTAAAAAATTGAATATCCATCCGAGTTTAAACGATGCTTCCTAACAGATCTATAATGGTGACTTCTTTTACATGACAGACGATTTTGAAAAGTAGCGGGTTAAGGCGTTTTTCTTAATTTACGCAACTACATGTGAGTAAAATTATTGCAAACGAACTGCGTAATTGAATTTGAGTGACAAAAAATTCACAGGAAAATTTCTGTACCGTTCTTTATACTTGTAGGGAAATAGATCAATCTTCCATTATTCTGTTTTATTTAGTTTTCATCGACAAATATCTTTTTTTCTGACGATTTTATGAGAACTTACAGTTTAAGAACACAGAAGAGGGGCCCTTTTCATTTTCTTTATTTAATGGTGTTTTCTCCTATTGCAAGTCATAAAAACGCTTTTATGGACTCAAATCACTCGTCAAACATAAGTTGGTCGTATAAGTTTTGTTTATTTTTTAGACTGCTCCATGTGCATTGTTGGGTCGATTTTTCGAGAATGCGCGCGATTTGTTGGCCGGCTATTCTAGAAGTTCGCCGAAACCATAACATGTTTTAATATTTCTATGCTCTTCTACCCTATTTTAGCCAGTATATATATAAAAATATCGTGGGATAGAAGTTGGAATTTTGCGCTGAGCCGAGATAAAAAGTTACATATTTCAGGTCATGGTGGTCTGTCATACAAAAAGAAATTGCAGTGACAAAAACCGCCAAAAAAAAAAAAGATTATGCTCTTTGTTCTCAGAAAGGGTAGATCTAAATATGCGGAGCAAAACAAACCCTGAACTAGAATTTTGTAAAAAAAAACCAACTCGGCTATTTGTGCCATTTTTGATATTCGGTGTTATTAAAAATTGGCGTTTGAGCGCTGAATCGATTTTCACTCAGAAAAATATTATTTTGCTATATTTGAAAAAACCAGGGTGGTTTCGATCACTTTTAGACTAAGATAGATTCCTGGGCAAAGTTTGAAAGAAATTGATTGTTCGACCCGAAACACACTGGACTACTTTTAGAGAGACTGCGTCCTGAGTGTGTGTCCACGAAAAATTATGACTAGATTCCATGTCGTATAGTCACGCGTGACACACACTCAGGACGCGTCCTCTTAACTGAACAACATATCAAAAAGGGGAAGATGTCGTGATAGCATTTTTTCCATTCACGATTTATCAGGAAAGGGGGAGAGGGGGAAGGAAAGTGAATACTTTCATTATAACTCTATACCCGCTTTCCAAAACAAATACGGTTTTCAAAAAAAATGTCTGAAATTCTGAAAATGGATATATAAAAAAAAATCAACTTCTGTTTCACGACACGCGATAACACAAAGTTTATTCTCGTTACATCGAAGTAATTAATTACATAGTTATATCTGCTAATCAAAAAGACTTATACAAACATTCGTTAATAAATAATAAAGCGACTACATTAATTCGAATAATATCTCTTTACAATATGTCAATATTGAAGAATATGGAAGCTAACGCTTACATAGAAAACATAACCACAAACATTTTTTGGAGATCTAGAGCAATTAATTTTCAACTTATCATGTATTGCTGACGTTTCCTCTAAACTATTCCATGAACTTAGATTAAATGCACTTCTTTGGTATAACTCGTTCTCTTAGCATCTAGATAGGCATTATCTACATACCTAGCTATCATTTCTTTATGATAAAAAGTAGCACCGGTCCAAGTATATGATTACGATCAGTATGTGTAAATATTACTTTTCCAGCGTGCTGATTGGTTAGGTCGTGGGTATTCACCCAAGAACCATTCGCTTTCGAACAGCCGAAAAGTAATATGACGTCTTCGCCTTTCGCCTCCGTTTACGTAAAGGAAATTTTATCGATAAAAGAGGAGGCAATACCCGAGAACACAAAAGTTACACAGTACCTCCTTCAACAGAATTTAACGTTAAGTTTGTCAACCCATCCGACCTCAAATCTTAGAGAGAGAAATATCAAAATACAATAATTTTTTAACAGGGAAACTGACGAGCTCTGTACTCATAAAGTTAGAAATAAAACATTGAATATTATGCGGCAGGATCTGAACAACAAGCAAGTCGAAATGTAGTTATCACATCAAAAGAGTAATGTGTTAATTATCTGACTAAATTACCAACGGGGCTGACTAAAAGATAGACTTCATTCTACACACTTGTTGATAGAGCCACGTCCGTCATTTTTACTACTATTTCACCAATACATTTTTGAAACAGAAATCAAATCAATTTTCTTTACTGATTATATTTTACTCAAATATCTGAATACGATCGTTTCCATCATCGGCGACAACAATTTGCCCATTAGAAAGATCCGCCAGAGACCTTGGACCATTGAATTCTCCTAAATTGCCACCTTTAGTTCCAAACTTACTGAGAAATCTTCCATTCAGTTCAAATACTTGTACTCTATGATTATATGAGTCACATACCATCAGATGTCCTGACTTGTTCACTGACAAACATTCGGGATAATAAAACTTACCGTCTCGTTCGCCTTCCTTTCCAAACTTGTACTGAAAGTTTCCGTCCCTGTCATAAACTTTAATACAATGTTCATTTCTGTCCGACACTATGAGATATGTATCGTACTGGACACAGTGGATGGGACAAGTAAAAGCCCTCTGTCCACCTATCTGCATAAGAAACGTGCCATCAGAAGAAAAGATCTTAATCATTTTGTTACCTGTATCAGCGACAATAATGTTTCCATTACTGTCTACCGATAAGCCCAAAGGAGAATTAAGCTGACTATCAAGGTTTCCTTTCTCACCAAAACTGCTCACGTACTGACCCTCCCCACTAAAAATCTGGATTCTGTGGTTATTCCGGTCGGCCACGTAAATATTCCCGTTATTATGAAATGCTATTCCCCTCGGATATTTAAACTCTCCCGCCATGTGACCTTCCCTACCGAATGATCTCAAGTAATTTCCATTCTTGTTAAAAATTTCAACTCTGTTGTCAAGGGAATTAGTTACAGCTATTTCATCCCTGGCATTCACTGCTACTCCCCAAGGACTCTTTCCGAAAGACAACACGGCTTTGAACTGAAATGGTTTTACTATTATAGTAAAAGGGCTGTTTTGAACATGTTCTCCGTTTACCTTTACTGTTACTCTAAACCTTCCTAAAACTCTGGGAAAATAGCTGATCTGATAGAGTCCATCTTTGTTGTCCTTTATTTGGACTGCCGTCACGCATTCTCGTCCATGTTCGTCCATGATCTCCACCGTTGCGTGATCATCTTCATTGTAACACTGTCTTCGTTCGGCGTCTCTTGTAGTTAAAGTAAACTGCGCTATATGGTTAACAAATCCTTCTCCAAGTCCTTTACCTTCAGCAACGGACTGGTTTGCTTTTGTTTGGTGTGCTAATCGCAAAGATCCAATTCCGTCGCCTTCAATAGTGTTCCGTAGCTTACGATTCTCAACAAAAGCTAAAAAAGGAGGGTTTTTTAAGTCGAGGTCCACTGGTTGGTTTTGATCATCTCGCTGAAACATTGTCTCTAATGATTTCATTAGGAGAACGACTTCAGCGTTTGTACTTCGTATCATCAGTTTATCAGCTTTCTCCAACGATAATTCGGTTAAGTCAATTTGACGTTCTATCTCCGTTTTCTGCCTTGCAATAATTTCGAGCGATTTCCCCGTTTCTCTCTTCACTGCTTCACAAATGGCTTGTTTCTTCGCTTCAACAGTTGCAAACAAATTGTCCACAAACTCCTGTACTTCTCGCTCCAAGTCTTCTCCTGTTTGTTTAATTTTTGCGTAATCCTCATCAAGTTGTCGTACAATGTTTCTTTTTGCTTGTAAATCACTCCTCTTTGTTTCCATCAATGAGTTCATTTGGATCTTTTGTTTTTCAGCTTCTTCGTCTAGGTGCACCATAGCGTGACCCGCATGATATAACACGACACAGCTGTGGCAAGCCGCCTTAGTACAATCCTTGCAGAAGTACTTCAGTTCTTCCTTCTCGTGCCGCTGTTTCGAGCAGTACATGGGTCGTTTCATCACATCTTCAAAGTCCTTTTCTTGAAAATCCTTGAGCGCCAGAACACGGTGATCTTTGTTGCTTCGCATGATGTTGTGTCCAATGACGCATTGTTGGCAATAAAATATGCAACACTGGAAACAATAAGATGTCTCGGAGCTTTTCTTGTCGCAATTTCCACACTGTACTTGACTGTTGTTACATTCTTTAATGGCTAACACATTAATCAGGCCGTTCAGGTAAAAACTGGTTGGTAGATCTTTCAGATCGCCACTTTCCGGCACTTTGTTTAGAGCTTGGCATTTCGGACATCTGATTGTGTCTCGGCCATGACTTGTTCTGTACCATTGCTGCAAGCACTGGAGGCAGAAACTGTGCAAACATTGGAGCTGTTTTGGGTTCGTGTAGATGTTAGTACAGATAGGACATGACACTTCTTCACGAAGATCATGTAGCAACGTTTTGATATCCATTTTGTTCGTCAAATGTGAGCGAGGAGAGTAACTATTTCGCAGAAATCAGCTTGAAACAATGAAGCCTTGTGATAATCTCTTTTTGGCTTTTCTAGAAGTAGCTGCCAATTATCATAATGGATTTAGCTATCATGTAACGGGAAGATATTTGTTTGTCTAGGACTCTGCTATCTAGTGTTTGTTTGCATTGTGTGCGTTCCAGACTAACCACAACACCAGTTCTTAGACATAGGTATGCATAGCATGCAAGAGTTACCTTTTCGGCTGGATGGGTTGAGATGGGACAGTTTGTGCACTTAATGTTTTCATTTTTGTCACCGAAAAAGTCATAAATTTCAAAAAACGAAAAAATTGCTGAAAGACAGAAAAAACCTAATTTATCTGAACTCACACAGATATTATGTCTCCTACTGTCTCTGCTGTCCAGATACTTCTAGGCAAACATATGGCATGCGTTGCCTGCAAGAATTATTTTTTCGACTGGGCGGGTTGAGATGGGGCACTTTACAAATTGCTTTTGTAACAAAAAAAGAACATAACTTTCAAACGGACGAAAATATCGCATTACTAAACAGTAAGAGAAAGAAAAAAAGACTAATTTTTCTGAACTTACACAGGTATTTTGTGGTCTATTGTCTAATTACTTCTACGCAAAAATAAAATGCATTAGTGCCACACTTCAGTATTGTTGTTTCCTGTCTCGTCACACAACGCCATTTATTCCCCGTTGGAGAGAGAACGCGTTGCGCGACGAGACCAAATAACGGTTTGCGAAAGAGATGTCTACGCTTACTGTCGTTCCTCTAACAGAGAGAAAATCAAAAGTATTCGTCTACAGCTAGTTGTCTCAAAAATATAATTTCACGTAATTTTACTACAAAAAGCAAGCTGAAACTCTGTTGTATCTCCAATAGACCCTAACCAAAGATAAATTGCGATGTCGATCAGTGAAGATAAATTGACCAAGAGAAAAGGATAAAATTTAAAAGAAGGATTCTTGATTGGTTGCTGACTATCTGGACTTTGCCTTCTGTGAGTGAAATACGTGATAAAATGCAGGTTGTTTATAAGGAGTTAACATAACGGGCGTTTTGAAACAGCCGTGCCAGTGTCCATTTTTTAAATTTTCCTCTTCTCATTCTTCATTCGCCACTCTCCATTCTCTACTCTCCATTC